CTAATTATAATTATAATATAATTAAAAATAATAATTTAAAAATATTATATTTAAAAAAAATAATAAAATAAAAAATTTGACGGGTACGGGTACGGGTACGGGTATACCCGATACCCGACGGGACGGAGATGAGGATGAAAATCACATACCCGACAGGTACGGGTACGGGAACGGGTATGGATTTAGCTCGTGGAGACGGGGACGAGTATCATGAAACCCGTACCTGCCCCGCCCCGTTGTCATCCCTAGATAGGAAGGATAACAAACGTGTTTTCTATGTTAGTAATAACATGTTTTCATATATTATAATTTTTCTAACTTAAAGTAAAGTTGTGTAAAAAAAAAATTTAAGTAAAAATTAAATTAAAAATAAAATGATTATTATGAAATAATAGTAAAATCAAGTATCTTTCAAAAGAGTCAATATAGTAAGAGTTACTTTTTTTTGGTACATTTATTAAGAGTTCTTTTTATTGTTAGCGATAAATATTCTGTTTTATTAATAAGAATCAATTAAAAAAAAATAGACTATTTAATCAAGACACATCACATCTATATAAATTTAGTATTTCATGCCAAAATTTAAGTTTTGTAAAGTAAACTTTAATTAAGATCAATTAATATTCTCTCCATATTAATTAAAATAGTTGAATAGGAACATTTTTAGGAATTATTTTTTAGTAAGATAATTTTCAGATTTCTTAAATTTTTTTAAATTTATTTTAATTTGTCTTTTCATCTTTATTTTTAAATTAAGTTTCGACGTTTTTTAAAAAATAGGTTAGATATATTTTTTACCCTTTTAATATTTTTTATTTTAGTCCTTGAAATTGTTTTTAAAGGGTCCTTATAATTTATTTTTTTTTACTTTGGTCTCTATATTATTTTATTTATTTTGAGTTAATTACTTTGAAAAAAGTTGGTAAAGATTAAAAATAAAATTTTCACATATTATACAGAAAAAATGAAATAAAGAGTATATTACGAAGACTAAAAATAAAATAACAAGGACTAACATAAAAAAGAAATATATTACAAATACTATTTTAAAAATAATTTTATAAAGACAAAAAAAATACAATATATTACAAAAACTAAAAGTAAATTTAAGTTAAAATATTAATAGTTCAAAATAACTTTTTATCTTAATATTGGACCAACAATTTTCTTTTATCTCCATATAACAATAAGATGATTTTTACATGCACAGTTCATTCCAAATAAATGTCATATATTAAATAATACTCCATGTTATATGTGTTTACATAACATATAAAGACATAACATCTCTTTTAGAACATTTAAACACACAAGAATACTTGTGTTTTTAAATTTTTTAAAAAAATAGTCCAACATTGCTAATTTTGTAATCTTTCAAACGAATAAAATAAGAAAAACAAAAAACAAAAAAAAACTTATACATCTAATTAACTTGGACTAAACATTTCCAAGAGTTTTAGACAAGTATTCAACATTTTAAATTCTCTAAAACACGACTGATGTGAAGCATCTACTCGTGGAATCGTGGGCAGCGAATGCAATTTGCAGCCATGACTTCATTGGGTTAGAAATAACACTGTGAGGAGGGATATTCTGGTTTTGTTACGAAGCCAATTTTGGTTTTGTCTTTGAATGATTCGAAAACAATCGGCAATGAAAAAATTATTTACATCCATGATGTTGCTCATGAAATTAAGATAGATATAATATAAAACAGGATCAAGAGGGTGCTGACAAGGAAAAAGTTAAAAAAGACAAGGAAGGGATCATCATTAAGAAATATGGAATGGGAATCACTGTCTCTGTTTTTGTTTAAGCCCTTTAATAGGTTGAAGTTTTAGCTGTTCTCTTCTTCCTGAACATAGGCCAAAATGAGGTTAAAACTCAGAAAAGGGGAATGGGCAGACAATTTAGTTCTTAGGTTCCTGCTCTATCTCATCCGAATTTAACATGCTATTGTTGAAGCATTGGGAGTAATAAATATTTAATTAAGCACAAAAAAGAGCATATATAATATAAAGTTTGATATGAATGAGAAATCAATACACAATACTAGGTCCAAAAAATGAATAGAAGCAAAACTCAATACAAAGATTTGGCCTAGCAGTCCAAAAAACATACAAAATGAAAATAGTTGGCTACTGATGTGCAGCTTCCTCAACCAGTTTCTTGCTCAAAATCTTCACCCTCAGATTCCTCTGCATTGTCAGCATCATCGTCATCTGCCTCATTGTCAAAGTCTTCCTTATCATTTTCATTAGTGGTTTTCCCTATCACAACAAGGTTGCTGTTCATCTTCCTGATTTCATTGCACTGCAACAATTTGTGCCAACAATGACAGGGATGAATAAGAGGGAAGGAACAACAAAAAAGAGAGATTCAAAGAACACTAGCTTACATCTTGAAGCCTATTATCCTCTGCACTGAACACTAACTTCATAGATAATCCAAGCATTTTTTTAATACTACTAAGTATATGTGAATGACTACTTTGCATATCTGACAACTAGTTCAAAATAACCAAAGCCATACAGAAAAGTTCAAGCAAACACTAGATGCTAATGTGGCAAAATGATAATTTTCCTTTCCGGAGATTTTATTTGTGTTGGGAGTGAATTTAGTATACACCAAGGATATCCACTAACTCAAAGTTTAAGATTAACTCCTTTAAGACACAGATCATTAAAGTAGATTTGTCTCCTTTAACAAAGGTTTTTTCACATACACAATTAAGAATCCGTATTCAGGTTAGCATGCTTAAGGGATGCAACTATCTCTGTGCCAATTTCATCATTATATGATGCCCAAACCTTAATTTTCCTACAGATTTGAGATTTTAACATAAAGATGACAACATAATTACGTGCACATAAAAAAAAAAAAGGTGTGCTGAGAACATACTACTCTTTAACACTAACACATCGTAATCAATTGAAATTTATTGAAAATTATAAAATTATATTAAATATAATAATTAATCTTTCCAATAAATTTCAACAAAAAGAGAATTCTAGCTGAGCTTATTTCTAGAAAACAGTGCAGCTCATAGCTTATAAATGTAACATCTCTCATTTGTGAATTCCCGGTTATGATCATTCACACTCCAATGTTTCATATTGTTCTGTTGATTCTACTATGGTTCACTATCTTCAAATAGTGTTAGAGAAATTAATGGAAGGAAAAAGTGAAATATTTAACCATAAGAAGTACCATATCCCACAATCCGAAATTCCCAATCATCTGATACACTATAAACCTAGACAAATAAGTGTGTGCAAAAATGGGTAGAAAATGAACAAGGTTTTAATTTAATTTGCGAAATGAACCAGAAGGTAAAAGATAGCGTTTTGAATGAATAATTTAGGACAAAGAGAAGATGAAAGGACCTTTTCTTCGAAATCAGACTCCTCCATGGCGAGAAGGAGTTCTTCGTTTTGGGGCTGAGGCCACTGAGAGGGTAACAGAAACGACGTCGGAATGGTCCTCGTCGACAATGGGTACTGTGTCATATACGCCGGAAACTGTAACATCTCTTTTCTCTTTTCTCCGTTTCCTTTCTCTGTCTCACTGATTTAACAATCTTCTTCTTACTCTTACACACTCACTCTCCTTAGTCATTTTATATTTTCAATCTTTCATCTTTGAATTTCTTTAAATTTTTTAATAATTATAATTGAATTATTTTATATTTTATAATATGCAGGATTAGAATTCTGTTAATAACCTATAAAAATTTATAAAAATATATGCTATATTTTTTTTTATGTAGTAGGATCACATCTTCGTTCTTTTATTTTATTTTAATTTTAATTTTATTTTAATGTTTTAATGTTTAAAATATTTATTTTAATTCTTTATATTTTGAATTTGAGGTCAATTTGGTTATTGGGAAAGAATGATTGTTTTAAATTTTGATATATAGTTTTGAATTGTTTTTACTGATTCAAGAAATAAAATTTGTCTTATCATATTTCTTCAAATGAAAATTATTGATGAATGTAACATATTTAAACTAAAAATAGGTTTAAATATGATAAAAAAAAATTGTGAAAATGAGTTTAATGAATAAATAGAAATTTAAAAAATAATAATTTAGATTATATTTTAATTATTATTTCCTAGTGAAATATTATTTTTATGTAATTTTTTCATATTTATAATCTTTTTGGATTTCAACATCAATTGAATTTTATAATTTTTTTTATGTAGGTGAATCTAATAGGAGAAATTTTTCATCTTAAATCACTAAGATAATAATTTCAAATCATATCATAAAATTAAAAATAATTATTATTTTAAAAAATTAAATAAATTAAAAGAGTAAAATAAATATTTTAAAAAATTAAAAACCAAAATTAGTTTTAAAATTAAAATACAAATTAAAAGTATAATTTAGTCTTTCACAATTATATGTGTAAGTTCTAATTCCTAATATAAAGTTTTCATAAAATTTTCTAATAAACTCATAAAAATAAATAGGAAAAAGGACGAGATAAAAGTAACATAAAAAATACAACTAATCATCCATATAGATGGTTTGAAAGAATCCTTAAGGTAGGAAAAGGATTCTTCAACAGAAAAATAGGTCCCAATATTATTTTTAAAAAAATAAATTTAAAGTCTATTTTTTTAATTATGTAATTATTATTATATCTCAATCAAATTTAAAATTTTATATATCATTATAATAAAATTTTAATTTTAATTAGAGAATAGTATCAACACATATCTATTATCATATACACATATATAAGGAAAATTGAAATAATATCGATGTAACTTTTACTAAATATTAAAATGTTTAATAACTTTTAATTTAATGTGGATTTTGATGATCCAACCCCTGAATTATAACTTTATATTATCTTGTATGTGTATATCAAATTTTGTTAAAATTGAACAATAATTTAAAGATAATTAAAGTGTTCATATTTTAATATATTTTAAAATGTATATATTACGTTAAGTTTATTTTATTAAAATGATATATTAAATCATTTTAAATAGGGTGAATTTAAAAGTTAGTTTATAAAATAAAGTATGTGATTTTAGTTCCTGTCTTTCAATTTTTAATTAAGGAAATTTTATTCCGTCAAGCATTGTATCTATGCTATTTAGTTTTATCCTTTCTATTAAAAATATAATATTTTTTGTTGATACAACATTAATAGGGATGTATCAATATTTTTAATTAATTTTCTTCTGATATATTTACATTTTTGTAAGAATATATTAATATATGTAAATTTATATTTATAGACCTATTATTTTTTCTATAAATATATTAATAATATTATTTATATTAATTTATCAATAATATTATAATCCTAATAACATATATAAATTTTTTTTGTTTAGTAATGATAAACTTATATCATTTGATACATGAATAAAAATTTAATTATAATATTTATAAATTAAATAGGTCAACAATTATATAATTTTAAATAATATATATAATATTATTTTAAAAAATTATTATATTTTTTATGGGAGAAACTAAAATTATATAGTTGTGATATTTCAAAGATCAAAATGACTTAATTAAACTTCAAGCGTGTGGTTCAGCGGTAGGGGTTGATCCACGCTTAAGTAAGGTCAGGGGTTCAAATCCTGCCTTGTGTATACAGCCGCGTTAAATCTTGGGGTCAGCTATCCCACCCTTTGAGGTGCCTCCCTCGTAGCGAGGAGATTAGTCACTACTAGACGGTGGATACTTCAAGGACGAACAAAAAAAAATGACTTAATTAAAATTTGGTAATAAAATTACACAATTGCAGTACTTGAATGACTAAAATTGTTCAATTAGAACCTTTAGCACCAAAATCACATGATTACAATACTTGAGAAATAAAAATGTAATTAAAGATTATTTATATGGATTATTTTCATGAAATGTACTCATAAAGTATATAATAATTTTAAATCATTATTAACTATATATTAATCATGTTTACTTTTATTATGCAGAGAATTTTGCTCCCTTAATAATTTTTTTCTAGTTTTATCCCTACTGTCATTGTCATCATAGTCACCATCATTCACTACAAGAAAAAAAAATTAGTTTGTGGAGGTTTTTATTTCGATTGACGAGGATTTTTATCCTCTACAAATTAATCTGTCGAGTTTTTAAAACTTCTACAAATATATTCATCACAAACTTTTTGTGAAGATTTACAACAACAACAACAATAATAACGATGATAGTGATAATAATAACAATAACAATAACAATAACAATGATAATAAAAATAATTATGTTGTCATCATCTTTAAGATCATCTTTGTAGTTATTAAATATTTCCTAACTTTTAGATAAATAAATGAAAATATCTTAATCTTTATCTTATTTATTATAATTTTTTAATAGTAGATTTTAGTATAGAAGTAGTTATAACTTCTTAACTTTCTATCGGTGGACTTTCATGTTTATTTAAATTTTGTGTTGAATTATGCTTATCATAAATCTCATTATTTCAGTATGAAAAATTGGTTTACGTTATATGAGTATACTATATGCACGTTTAACAAATTTTAATTGTGCTCAATTTTTCTGAAACCATTTTAAATGTGTGTAAGTTGTTTAAGAAGTTATATTTTATTTTTATAAATTTTCTTTGTGATCTATGCATAATTTTGTCCTCCTTAAAAAGTTTCCATTCAACGTCTTACACAAGAAATCCTTTTTTTTAACAGTTGAAGATAAACCTAAGTCTTATATATTCAACATGTTCATGAAAATGTGATGTAGAGAATACCAATCCTGCAAATGCACTTGCTGATTCTCATCTCTTTTATATGAATAGGATGAATTTAAAAGTTAGCTTGTAATGCAAAAGTATATTGATATTTTTAACAGTTATTTTTTAAATAATTGATCAGAATTTTATATACATTACATATAAAAAGTAAAATACATTTAAATTTAATTAAACATTTATATACATTACATATAAAAAGTAAAATCCATTTAAATTTAATTAAATTTAGATTACAATACTTATATTAGTAATTTTGTTTCCTAACGTTCCTCATTTCAAAATTCATGGGAGGTTTTTTATTTTTATTTTTAGATCAAATACATTTTTTTTAAACCTAAGATGTTTTGTTACAAGAGAAAATGAGAAAAAAGATTGGAGAAATAAGAAAAAATATTTAAAAAATTCAATTCTTTCTCTATTGTGTTTTATCACTTTTTTTTTATATTTGGGAGAAAATTTAACTCAAAAAATTAATTACAATATTAATCACGGTACTAATTATTTACAATTAAATAATTATGATAATTTTTATTTATGAAATCTGACAATTTTCTAGAAAAATAAAAATATTTATAATTTTAATAATTATTTTACTAGTTTTATAAATGGATTGACGTAATTAAGGTAATAGAAGACTTTGATCTTTATAATTAAATTCAAATTATCTTGAAGTCAGCCTCTATAATTTAAGATTATTTATAAACATTTATATTAATTCTATATATGATCAAAATTATTATAATTTTGATAAATAAATATTAAAATTAACAATTAATATTATAAATAAATTTTTATTAAATTAATTGATAATATAGATATATATTATTATTTAAATTTATAATATAATCAAATTCAAAAAATAATTAAATATAAAATCATAAAAATGTGACATATTATAAATTAACACACTCGTGCACGGCACGAATTATTGCAAATGTCTTACCTAAGTTTTGTTTGAACCAAATAAACTATGTATTATTTTTTCAAAATGAATCAAATAAATTATGTATTATTTTCTCAAAATTTAGAAAATAAAAGAAAATATTTATATTAATATAAAAAAATACTCCTTTAAATAATTACTTGATTTTCATATTTGATAAAATTTTATATTTTTTTATTATTAAAAAATATTGTAATTTTAATAATTTTTTATTTTTACTATTTATTAATTTTTCTTTTTTTTAATATTTTATAATATTATTGAAATCTTATAATTTTAATTTTTATAATTTTATCTTACTTTTTATTTTATAAATATAATTTAGATTATTCATTTTATAATTAAATTAATTTTTTTAAAAAATTTTATGAGTTTACATAGAAAAATGTATTGGAACCCCTCGATCTTTGAGGGTACCGTAGCAACTCCCTTAAAAAAATATATAAATGGAAATTTGACTTGTATTTTTTTAACGGTTATGTTCTAGTTAGGAGAACCCGAAAGTTTTAATGGAGAGTTACCATCAGATCACTATAATGCGTTGAGTTAAGCTGAGTAATTATTAAATATATTTTAACGGCATTAAATTAATAAATAAATTTAAGAAATTTTCATTATGCATCGTATTAAAAATTATATTATTGTATAGCTAAAAATAGATTGTTACTTAAATTTAATATATATATATATATATATATAATATAGAATCCTTTCCAACAATACTTATCCTATATAATTGCTACTTAATTTCCTGTTCCCAATAAAAAACTGTATTGGCACCGCTAGCACAACACACAGACAAACACATAAAAAACAAAATTTAAGGAAACTTTAATCTCAAAATAACAACAACAAAAGCTGACAAGTAACTGACGTGAATGAATCATGGATACTCAAAGGAAACCATCTTCCATAAGTAATGACTAACAACTAACGAGTTTCCATTCATAAACAACCGCACATTCTATTCACACCATACACCAAGTGTCATTTCCCTTCACTGTCCACGTATTCTTCTAACACGTGACTTCCCTTATTCATTCCACCACCTCCACCACCGAATCAAATTTTTTTTCTTTTAGAGTACTAAAAATCCTTTCAAACTAACATAACATGATACCATGCTTTTGCTTTATGCGTCACAAGTTGTAAAGAACTGACTTTATTATAAGCTATGTTGAAGCTTTACGTGTGTGTATTGGAAGCCAAGGTCCTACCCGTGAAGGATTCTTACGTGAAGCTTAGGCTCGGGAAGTTCAAATCCAAGACAAGGGTGTTGAGGAACACGTGCACCCCGTTTGGAACGAGGAGTTTAGTTTCAGGGTGCATGATGCAGAGGACGTGCTTGTTGTGTCTGTTGTTGCTAAGGAGTGCAAAGTGACCAAGGGTTACGTGGATTTCGTGGGTGAGGTACGCATTCCGCTAGCCTCACTTGCTTTTGAGGATAAGCATACGTTACTCCCCTTGTGGTTCTCTCTTGAAAGCTCCAAAAGTGGCAAATTTTTTGATAAATATTCTGGTTTGTTTCCCTCACGAAGTGTTACTTGCATGCTTAATCTCGCGCTTTCTACTTTTTTACATCATGTCTATTGTGTTTATAAACTACTTAGGGTTCCTGTTCATTATGTAATCTTTAAATATAAGGGTTGAGTGTGTTTATAATAAAATGAATTCACAGAATAAAATCATGAACAAATGTTGCATTTTGTGTTCTAATGACTCCTACTGGTTTAACCATTTCTTCTTTGTTTCTTTAGCAATATTGGGAAAAACCCAAGTCCCACATCGACTAGAGATTAGACAATTGAATAGTATATAAGTGGAAAGCAACCCTCACCTTATAAACCATTACCCTCACCTTATAAACCAGTTTTGTAGGGTTGAGTTAGGCTTAATACACTATTCAAAGAAGCAATTTTGAAACTGTTATGCAACATATGTAACTGAATTTTAGTTCAATGTCTTGTATGATCAGGAAAAATTCTCCTTACAGTTTCTCTTCATGGTAAAGGTCGTGCCTCTTTTTTCAGTCACAAGCATTCTCCAAATTCAACAGTTGCACTAGAAGACTCCAGATTTGAAAGGTCTTTGCGTTTTATGTCACGCTCGTTTGATAGAATAGGTGTAGGCAAACAAATGTTGAAGGTTATTGCTAATCGTTTGCATAGGGTTTTCAATAAGAAAGAAGGAAGCTCAAAACCTGGGGATTCTTCAGAACGAACTACTTCATTATCTGATTATGAAGATAGTGTACAGGAAAATTCATCTCCCTGTAGTTTTGAAGAAGCCATTGCAATAATGGAGTCTGGAGATAACAAACCAGAAATGCCAGAAAATTTAGCTGGTGGTGTTCTAGTAGATGAGAATTATTTAGTCTCTTCAAATGACCTTAATGTGTTTCTTTTTGTACCGAATTCACAGTTTTGGAAAGATATGGCTGAACTGCAGGGAACAACAAATGTGCATGAGGGACCTTGGACATGGAAACATGGAGACATGTCATGTTTAACACGAGGTGTTACCTATACAAAGGCAGCTACAAAATTCATTAAAGCAGTTAATGCCATCGAGGAGCAAACCTACATTAGAGTGAGCAGAAAAGAGTTTGCTATACTTGTCAGTATAAGCACACCTGAGGTTCCATATGGTAATGCATTTAGGATTGAAATTCTTTATAAGATAATGCCAGGAAAGGTATCTTCTGGAGAGGAATCCTCACATATTATTGTGTCATGGGGCATTGTCTTCCTCCAGAGCACAATGATGAAAAGCATGATTGAAGGTAGGGTAAGGGAAGGATTGAAGGAGAATTTCAAACAATTCTCCAACCAACTTGCCCTGCATTTTAAGGTGCTAGATAAAGCAGATTTACCAGATAAGGAGCATTTGTTGGCTACTTTGCAAACAGAAGACCAGTGGAATTGGTGGCAGGCAATTGCGTACTTTTGGAATTTCACTGTGGTTTCCACCATTTTCATGTTTTTGTATGTGTTAGTGCATATTTTAAGGTGTGGTCCAAGTCTACCTCAGGGCTTGGAATTTATGGGGCTTGAATTACCAGATAGTTTTGGAGAACTCATTACAAGTGGAATTTTAGTCATCCAGTTTCAGCGTGTTTATGATATGGTGTCTCACTTTGTGCAAGCTAGATTTCAAATGGGTAAGCATATTATTTGAACACACTATTATGCTTGTTATCATCGTCAACTGTCAGATGACTTTATGAGGGTTTACTTTTTGCATCCTTTTCCTCTAATAGGAACTGACCATGGCCTCAAAGCTCATGGTGATGGATGGGTTCTTACTGTGGCTTTAATTCAGGGGGTTGATCTGGCTTCCTTGGACTTGGAGTCAGAAGAGTTGTCAGATCCCTATGTAGTGTTCACCTGTAATGGGCAAACAAGGTCTAGCTCTGTCAAGCTTCAAACGTCCAATCCTCAATGGAATGGTTTGGCATTCTAACTTGATAATAATTATCTTATTTGCAATAACTTTGCTTGATATGGATATATATTTACTTGAATCCTGTATTGGTATTTATACTTGTATGCAGAGGTATTAGAGTTTGATGCTATGGAAGAACCACCATCAGTTCTAGATGTGGAAGTTTTTGATTTTGGTGGTCCATTTGACCAGGATGTTTTACTTGGACATGTTGAGATCAATTTTCTAAAGCACACATCAACAGAATTGGCAGACATGTGGCTCATGCTTGAAGGAAAGCTTGCTCAATCTTCTCAGTCAAAGTTGCGATTGAGAATTTTTTTGGACAACAACAAAGGTGTTGAAACAATCAAGGAATATTTGGAGAAGATGGAAAAGGAAGTGGGCAAAAAAGTAAGTATTAGGAATCTGACCCCATGTATCTGCTTTGGTATTATACAGTTCAACCAACTTTTATTTTTCTGTTTGCATAAAATATTTAGAACTATTTATTGTATGTGACTATAAATAGCTTAATGACAGTTGAATCTTAGATCACCTCAAAGGAATTCTACATTCCAGAAAATGTTTGGGTTGCCTCCAGAAGAATTTCTAATCAAAGATTTCACTTGTTACCTGAAGAGAAAAATGCCTTTACAGGTACTACATGTGGTTGACATATTTAAACACATTTTTTATATTTGAGTCTGTTTGGATATAAATTTTGAAGATCTTTTGAAAAATTCTCTACTAGAAATTATCTACTAAAAATAAAAGAACCTTTTTTTCCAATAAAGAAGGGATAAAAAATTCTTCTAAACTTGTATCAAAACAAGTTCTTACTCTCTAACTATGAGACATCAAAGAGGAGAGTTGTTTGAATAATATGTGATGTTGAACTAATTTACCAGGTGATGTTTAAGTAATAAACTCCATATACTAAATAATGGATGCATTCCTGTTGTAGGGTCGGTTGTTTCTTTCAGCAAGGATTCTGGGGTTTTATGCCAGTTTGCTTGGACATAAAACCAAATTCTTCTTCCTTTGGGAAGATATTGAAGAGATACAAGTGCTTCCTCCAACATTGGCCACATTAGGGAGCCCTACATTGGTCATAATTCTGCAAAGAGGTCGAGGGCTTGATGCAAGGCACGGTGCAAAGACTCAAGATGAAGAAGGGAGACTTAGGTTTCATTTTCAATCATTTGTTTCATTTAGTGCTGCCTCCAGGTATGAGTCTGGCATGCTCATTTCTAATCTTATAATTGATTCCATGTTTTCACTTTCAGCTAACATCACATTTTGTTTTCATAAAAGAACAATAAAGGCCTTGTGGAGAACAAGAATACTGAACCCCTATCAGAAAGAACAAATTACTGATGACCATGAAGATCAAGAAGGCCTTGTAATTCCAGAAGACTCTGCAACTATTTTAGAGGATGAAGAAAAAATGTCCAGAATTTTCTCTGCAGAACTTCCAATTAAGGTCAGCAATAAACTGCAGAACTTCACAACATCCTTGGTAGTCTAACTCCTCTACTACCAAGGATGTTGTGATCTCTTCTTTGATGTTGTACAATTCTTACTTCCAAAAGATAGTAGAGGCTAGTTGTCTTGCAGTTTCCATTTACAATTTAACATTTATGGTATTTGGGAGACACTGAAAAGGAAATTACCTTGGTGGATGAATTAGCAATTAGCCTCTTTAAGAATTGATATTATTTCATGTATGGTATTAACTTTCTGTAGCTTTGATGTGTTGTGTTTCTCTTGCTCAGGTGAGATCAGTGATGGGAATTTTTGAGGGAGAAAATCTGGAGCATAAAATTATGCGGAGATCAGGATGTGTGAACTATGAAACTACATCATGGGAAAAAGTAAAGCCTGATGTCTTTGAAAGGCACGTTTCTTACCGATTCAATCGACAGGTGTCAGCTTTTGGTGGTGAAGTCACATGCACACAACAAAAGTTTTTGAATCCAAGCACCGGAGGTTGGACTGTGATTGAAGTTATGGCTCTTCACGGTGTTCCATTTGCTGATCACTTTCATGTATGCTAAACTGAACTGCTTTTTTAGTGATAAATTAATTTAGTTCATCTTGTTCCCATATAAGGGTATATGATTGTGATATTCTGTGTCTGCAGATTCATTTTAAGTACGAAATTGGGAAATCGTCTCTTGGTGAATGTGCTTGCAAGTGTGATGCATACATTGGTATTACTTGGCTTAAGAGCACCAAGTTTCAGCAAAGGATAAACAGGAACATAACAGCCAAGTTTAAGCTTCGATTGAAGGAAATATTTGAACTGCTTCAGAAAGAGATTTTGTTAATGTCTCATAACTCAAATGGACAAGGTTAATTTGATGAGGACCATGTTAAATGTATTAGACAAATAAAAAGAGATTTTGTTAATGTCTCAGAACTCACATGGATAAGGTTAATGTGATGAGGACTATGTTTATAAGGCAAATGACAAATGCATTTTCTATACAGCAATTAGCTTTCTGAAAAATTTCAAAGAGATAATAGTCATTTAACTTATTTATCAAAAATTAAATATAGTCTTGTATCCAAAGGATAAAAAAATTATCTTATACAAACAAATAAATAAACTTTCACATCTTATCATAACTTGTGAGGAAATCGAATAAGAATGCCACGTAGGAGGTTTGATGCAGAAAAGCATATAGATTCAAGAGGTGCATGAAGGAGAGAGTTGATGACAATTAACTCTCTTTATCACAGAAAGACATGCATATCATGTTTGATATTTGGGCAACACATTCGATTCAATTCTACTACCCTCAAGGCTGTGCCAAATGTAGGATTGCAGTTCACAACTGAATCACGCATCAGAAGCCGTAAATAAAAATAAGAAAACATGCAAATTATATGATAAGCATTAACCTAGTCAGTAGCTAGCTAGTAGTTGTACAGTTGTACTGACGTATACTAGCTAGTTGTTGCACTGACGTATACGACACACTTTAGAGAAAGGCACAAAACATTACTCGAATGAATCTTTGATCATTTGTCATCAAACCCACTTCACAAACAACTCAAAACCAAGCTTACCCTGGTTGTATGACTTGTCTGAAAAACAATTTAGAACTCTTAAATTCAATTCTAATCTATATTAAAATAATATTTGATCACATTTCATAACTATTCATTAATTATAACATTCAGACACTACGTAAAGCATATATATATGAATTAAAAAAATCTTTAATCTCAGTTTTAAAATATTAATCCATGTTTATCAACAAAAAAAAAAAGTCAAAACCCAAAGAATGCACCAAATATCACGCCATTCAAGACAACTCAAGTTCATATGACTCTAGCAAATTAATATTTAGTTTGCATTAAAATAAATATTGGTCACTAAGAATATTAATATTTCATTTTCTCATTTCCAATAATACAAATTAAATGTCATAGTTTCTAGACAACTTTAGTAATGATTTTTTTAAATAATTCAAACTAAATAAGAAAATGATATAATAAATATATCTATAGTATTTGTAATGAATGTTCTTAAAATTATCACAATTTTATTTAAATAATCGATATAAATTTTTATTATGATGTGATATTTACGAGTTTTATGAAATTAATAATTTTTAATAATATTGTTAATTTTTTTTAAATATTTAATTAATATTATATGTCGAAAATTTTAGTTCGCACACAGTCCATAAATAAATCAGGCTGGTCAGATATATCAACCCATTTAGTCCAACTATTTCGCCGGCTTAAAGAATTGGGCTGGCTTAGGTCTCTCTAACTTTAAAAGTAAATTTATTTTTAAAAATATAATAATTTAATAAAATTTAAATATATATATTCAATTTTTATAAAATTAATAAATTTTGATTTTAGTTACTATATAAAGATTTCATTTTTCAAAAATTAGGAATCATAGTTTTATATCCTTATAAGCAAATTTTTGTTTTGGTCCTTAAATTTTTTTTTAAAATTTAAAGTCTTTATTTTTGTCTCTAAAATTACAAATTACATTAAGGTAGATAAATAATATTTATTTTGAAGATTTATAAAATTTGTTAGTGGTGTTACGCATTATTACAGTATCACAATCAATTATGAGTACGATTTGAAATTTACTTAATTTTCTAATAAATAAATAGTTAAAAGTAGTTGCATAATGATAGAGATTTTAAAAAATATATATGACTTAAATAAAAACATTTTATTTTATAAAAATTAATAACACATTTAATCCTTCAATAAATGTTTCTGAAAGTATAAAATGTTACCCACTTTAGTTCAAATTTATAAAAAAAAAATGTATGATTTAAATGATAACATTAACAATATTTAGATACACCAACTTCTTGAAAGATTAGTATGTTTATAGACTAAAATGATAATGAATAGTTAAGTTTAAGATTATTATTTTTTGACTGAAGTTAAGTTTAAGAATTTAAGAGTGTTTGAAAATTCAATGTTTTTTTTTTTGGGAAATGTTGTTTGTAAAAAAGAAAGTATTTGTTTAAGATAATAGAAAAAATTTGTAAACAATGTTTTTTCTCTGGAAACTTTTTTCTCAACAACATTTTTCCTTTTAAGTTGATTTACTATATAAAAATTCATTTATTTTCATTATATCCATATATAATTAAACAACTTAAAAATCATTTTTCAGTCAACTTACTTAAACAAAAATTTATTTTGATTATAATAATAATTGATTATTCATATAAATAATTATTTGGATAAATAATTTTTCACAATTTTTTCAACTAAATCCTAAATGAAATAATTGAAACGTTCAAAGACCTTTTATTTTATTTTATTTTTTATTTTCATGCTTCAAGAGACTAAAGTGGATGGGGGTAGCGCCATACTACCTCCAAAGTCAATTATCAGCAAAACTAACTAATTTGTTCGGTTATTAAGAAAATTAATTAATATCATTTAGTTTTGTTAAATTCAATTAAAATTAATTTTTTTCCTATTCTACTCTTCCTTGAGATTTGATATTATGAATTAAAATAGTCATTGAAAATAGAATTTTAATTAAATTTAAGATAGTAATATTAAATATGATAAAATTAATCAAGATTTATTTATATTTTTCATGAGAATTACAATAATGACAATAAAGTATGAACTTAAGATTCTGTATATTGCTCAAATCTTTTACTTTTAGGTTATATAAAAATTAAAAAGTAAAATAAGTGAAATTATAAAGACTAAAAAAAATATTTTAATCCAATACATTTTTTTAATTTACAAATAACATTCATAAATATATTTAAAATATTTATAGCCAATTAAATAAATTTTAATCAGATATAAGAATCATAATTTCGAAATGTATGATTCTGAAATTTATGATTTTGAATAGATATGATTTTGGGCATGACAAATTTTTCATTCTAATAAATACTTGCTAAATTACTAGTCTCTAAGAGAAAAGATCCTCCACATTTCCTTTTCTCTTCATTCCTTCCTTCTATTATCTAACTTTTGATAACATAAATCTTAATTTATATTTTATTTATTTATTAAAAAATAGAATATTTTTTAAAAGAAGGATATAATGGAGAGAGTTTTCTAGAAGTCGTTACTAATATCAGATGAATGAAGTGACTGTTGACTGGAGTTGACAAAAGAAAAATGTGTTGCCATTGGATTTGGTCACTTTTTCTTGTACCACCTCGCAGCATCTAAAGTCACTGTCTACTTCCCAAAGCAAACAATAAATCAAAAGCGATATTCTCAGAGCATTCATTCCATGTTATCCCAATTTCTCATCACAAACCCTTAACCCAACCCTTTCTCTATCCAATTCCAATTCCGACGCCATGGATCCAAACCCCGGAACCTTCCCTCTCCTCTCCTACGTCATGTCGCGTCTCCCTTCGCTCACTCCCAAACCCGCCGCCGCCGCCAATTCCGATTCCGACCACTTCGACATCGAGCAGCCACGCGCGCCGGAGATCGTGGGGCAAATGCCGCACCTGGCGGACCCGGACCTGGTGGCGTCGATGGGCCGGGCCGTGTCCCAGGTGGACCAGGCCCGCTCCGTCCTGAAGCTGATCGGGGAGCGGCCCACGCATGAGGAGGTGGACAATGCCCGGGCCAGAGTGGCGGAGATCGAGGCCCAGCTCTCCCGCGAGCTGGAGGAGATCGTGCTGCAGGCCCGGCCCGCGGAAGTGGAGATCCACGGGTGGCGGGCCCAGCAGGCCGAGAAGGAGAGGGAGCGCAGGGAGTGGGCCGAGAGGGAGAAGCGGGTCTGGAAGTCGGTGCTGCAGCTGGACGAGATGCACGAGGCGTACGAGAAGGTTGTGAGGGAGGCTGAGAAACGGTTGGTGAAAATGTACGAGGATAGGGATGTTGGCGTTGGCGATGGCGATGGTGATGGGGTTGGTGAGGAAGTGAACGAAGAGGTTGTGGGGATTCTGCAAGAGGCTTATGGCAAAGGAATGGAGCGTGTCAACCTTTCTGGACGCCAATTGAGGCTCTTGCCTGAAGCTTTTGGTCGAATCCCTGGCTTGCTCGTGCTTGATCTTTCAAGCAATCAACTATCGGTAATTTCCTTTTTTTTTGTTGATACTTGTTGGATTTAACCTGAAATTGTTTTTGTCGAACATAATCAATCAATTAAGCTGAATAAACTTATCTGATTACTCATAGGAAAAGAAATGAAAAGTGAATTGGACTCTGTATGGATAAATTTCTCCATAAGTATTTCAAAAAAATAAAATAAAATTTTCTGCTTAAATTAATTTTTTCATAAGTGAAAAACTAATGTTTAGATATATTAATATGTGAGAACTTATATAAATTAGTGTACGGAGAAACTAATTTTATCTGTTGGAGAAGCTTATTTAATTAAAAAGTGTTTATGAAGAAATTTGTCAAAATAAACCCATATGCACTTAACTTTCAAAGAAATTATTTTCATTTAAGCTGATATTGACACATGTATAAGCTAAGGTGTATAAGTTGTTTTCATTTAAGCTGATATTGACTCGTGTGTAAGCCAAGGTGTATAAGTTGATTTTAACTTATGGAAGAGAAGCTAAATGATTTTCTCAAGACGGCTATACAAAGATGGCCCAAATTGTTTTTCGTTTAAGTTGATACTGACACGTGTCTTTATGCAAAAAATTGACAAATAAGCATGTACCACAGTTATTCTAGACATCTATATCTTACCCGAGACAGAAATTTATAGTTAATGTTAGCTTTTATTTATGATTGCGAGTGTGTGTATGCTTCTTGGTTTTCCATTGATATGTATTAAATCATGTTGCAGTACTAGTTTGCTTCAATGATTTAAGCCCAGATTAAATAAATAAACTTTTCCATACTTACTTTTTGGAGAAGAAAATAAGATGTTAAAATGAATCATTTTTTTTAGTTAAAATCAACTTATATAATTCAATTTTAATAGAATTTTTCTCATTTAACTTATGAGAGAAACATGATTCATTTTACTTCATTTTTTTTCCTTCAAGTACTTAAAAGCTTTTTCCAAACAGGACTTTGACATTTCTTTTTATTGCTTCACATGTATACTAATATATTTTGTGCATCGCATTAGGCAATTCCTGACTCGATAGCTGGATTGCAAAACCTTGAGGAGCTTAATCTCTCTTCAAATCTTTTGGAATCACTGCCAGATTCCATTGGGTTGTTACAAAGGTTGAAATTGCTAAGTGTCTCTGGAAATAAGCTGACTGCGCTTCCTGATCCCATCTGTCAGTGCAGGTGAGTGAGAAATTCATAAGACAACAGTTTTTTATATCATTGTCATGGTAGCCAATTTGAGTAATTACTATGCCTTCTGATATGGGATCCCAGCAAAATTTATTTTGTACACTAACATCCATTTATTTTGAGAATGAATGTTTAACTTTAGTTGAGAGCTACATGAGTGTTTTGTGAGACATATTTGTAGACTACTGGAGTAGTGAAAGTGGGAGCAGTTTTTATGCATGCTTTTTATTCAAATTTGTTTTGAAGTATGTCTTATGTCAAGGTTATATCATATTTTATGGTTTTATACTTTTATTTGTCTTTCACCATGTTCAAACACTGTATAGTATCTAACTGAGAATTCTATGTTCTATTTATACTTATATCATCTCATTTTTCAAATCATGTTAACTATGATTGATTGAACTCTTACTGTATTGAATGATCAGATCATTGGTGGAGTTGGACGTAAGCTTTAACAATCTGTCATATTTGCCCACAAACATTGGATATGAATTACCGAACTTACAGAAACTCATGATTCAGTTGAACAAGATACGATCTCTTCCCTCATCTATTTGTGAGTTGAAGTCCTTGCGCTATTTGGATGCTCACTTTAACGAGCTACATGGGCTTCCCATTGCAATTGGAAGACTGACTAGTCTTGAAGTTCTCAACCTGAGCAGTAATTTCAGTGACCTCAGAGAACTTCCTGAGACATTTGGTGATTTGACTAACCTCAGGGAATTGGACTTAAGCAACAATCAGATTCATGCACTTCCTGATACATTTGGTCGCCTTGATAACTTGACCAAGTTAAACTTGGAGCAGAATCCTCTTGAATTGCCTCCATTGGATATTGTAAATCAAGGGGTTGAAGCCATTAAGACTTTCATGGCCAAGAGGTGGATTGAGATATTGTTGGAGGAAGAAAGGAAAAGCAACCAAGAAATGCAAGAACAAGAACAGGGTGGTTGGTTAACACGAAGCACCTCCTGGTTGAAGAATGTTTCTGGAAATGTAATGGGGTACATCGGAACTACCGTTGCATCTCCTATGACACCCAAATCTCCCAGAGATGCATACCTCGATCAGCAGCTATGAGGTGAAGGTCCAACACATTTGGCCTCTAAGACTTGTATTTTAGAGGAATGTTGTAGATTACTATGTTCTGAGCAATAATTCCCTGCTACTCCCTCGTTTGGGTCTCTGCCCCACCCAAAATAGCGTGGGTTGCTTTGCTTACAGATATTTTTGTTTTGCTTAGATATTATCTGGATGAGAAATGTTACTAATACACTTTGTAACACTCTTTCTCACAAATTTTTGAATTAGGTGAAATTTATGTTGATTTTACTAAATATGTGGGTTTCATTAAATTAGTGTGAACTAAATGAATTTCAACTATAATAGAAATGAAAGGACTCGAGTGTTGGAAAATGTCTTTTTAGCACTCCTGCTTCCACTCGGTGAAAGGGATGGAATGAAATAAAATGAAATGATATTGGATTCCAGTTTTCCAATTGTTTAAGATGCGTTGAAGTGAAATTAAACTTAATATTTCTTTCTTTTGGTAAAGGTGGTGTCTTTAAAGCCAAATCAACGGAGATTTAGGTTTTTAGTAAAATGTAAATGAAATCAGATGAATTTCTCAGAAATTTAAATGGTTATTCGTAACGAAATATTTTTTTAGTACTATCAAGAATAAAGTCTTGTTTTAGCACAATAAGCGGCAATAACTTCGCATCCTAGTGGTCTATATCTATATTATATTTTGCTTGGACAATAATTTTTTTAACACTGTTCATGCTTTGGAGCTTATCTAGCTGCTAATTTGTTTGTTGATCCAATGGCAAATAATTGTTCAATTTTATTCATTTCGCTCGTAAACTTAGCATATGTTTGGCAGGAAGGAAGGTGGTGAAAACAGAAAAATAAAATAAAAATAGGAACATTATGAAAAAAATTGAAAAAATCACATAAAATAACTTTTGGCAAATTTTTTTTTTAGACCACTGGTGTCTTTCATTGAAGACAATCTTACATTTTGATGACTTATTTGGAAATGTCCAGATGTTGATGCCATATACTGTCTGAGTCCCATTACTAGACTCGCTTTCTAATTTATCTCGACTTTGTTACCAAAGCTACATTCATCCTCTTGTCTGGTGGTTGCTTACTCTTGTTGATTGCATTTTAAATGGTACAATCTATTCTAAATTCAGATTTCCAGCCTCAGGTTGCATCTGGTGCAAGCTAAAAAAATGATATACCTAAGAAACCTATCACTGATCAAGGAATTGTTCCATAGTTTACATGTATGGAATCAAAGTCCAATGGAGGAGGATCAAGTTTGCTTTAATTGAAGTACAAATGAGTTTCACTATCATTATCCTTCACCCTCATCCTCATGAACTAAAAAACAAATAAGAGCAATATAATTTTGTTCACAACTTTCTCCTCTCTAGTTTTTCTCTGCCTAATTTAAGCTCAAACAAGTAAACGTGCATGACATCTTTTATTTGCCTATTTTATACTTATCACACTAAATGATCTTGAACACACAAAACTTCTTTTATAAATGCTTTTAGGTTCATATTGGAGGATCCACCTTCTGCAACTGCTCGGTCACATATGCCATTAAGTTGTAGGGCCCTATCTCGAACTTCTTTACCCTTAGTACTTCCAACATCCATAAACTCTCTAATCACTTTCACTATTTCCTCTTGTGTTACCAATTCTTCACTTCGCAACTCTGATCTTTTTAACTCCCACCCGTTCTTCCACACTTCCAAAATTTGCCTACTATTTGGGACTTGGTCAAAGAAAAGAGGGAACGTGAGCATTGGAACACCAGCAAAAACAGCTTCTAGAGTGGAATTCCACCCACAATGGCTCCAAAACCCACCTATAGAAGGATGTGACAAAACCTTCAATTGGTCACACCAAGGCACCACTAAACCCCTGTCACCACATTTCTCTTTTAACCAGGAAACTTCTCCACGAACCACCCAAAAGTAAGAAACACCACTCGTGTTTAAAGCTGAAACGATTTCATTCATTTGGGCACAAGACACAGAAAGGAAACTACCAAGAGAAATATACAATACTGACATAGCTGGCTGAGAATGTAGCCACTTTATGTAGTCAACGTTGTGATCGCTGTTGGCCCCTAAATGACTTGCGTCGGGTTTGAAGTAAGGAAAGGCAATGGGATAAATTGGAAAGTGGAACATAGCTCTCAAATAATCAATCACTTCAGCTTCCAACTCTTGAACAGTATTAACAATAAGACAATCTGCTTTAGGCACTATAGAAATGCATTCCAACTCAAGCTGCAAAAACCTCAAGTCATTTTCACGAAGCACTACTCGAAGATCAGCTAATTGTGCCGGGGAAATTCCCGGTATGTGCTCTTCATAATCATCTAAATTATTGAAAGCCATTATGAATTGCTAACTGCTCAAAGTTTGAACAATTAATACATAAAAAAATAAATAAACGTAACCACTAATTACTAAAAAAATCATTACATTTTGCAGTGACGTTAGAAAGTTTACCTAAAAGGTCAACCTTCAAAGAGTGGTTACGAACCAAGCTTTGTAGTCGATGCAAGCTGAGGTGAAAGGACCCCGACATGGTCCAAAGCAGCGCCACCGGAATATTTTGGCGGCGAGCAACGGCGACCGGAAAGCGCAGCTCGACGTCGGCAACGAGGGCGGTGGCAGGAGGGTTAAGGCGGTGGAGGAGGCGGCGAAAGGGAGGTTCCATTTCGGTGGTAACGGCTTGGAAGAAAGCGGGGATGTCAGAGGCTATCTGGGATTGGAGAGGGATAACATTGGGGACGGTGGCGAAGCGAATGTTGGTGGGCTTAGGGTCGGAGCGGATGAAGCCGAGCCACTCTTGTGTGACGACGAAGGTGATTTTGAGGAGAGGATTTTCACTTGCGAGTAGTTTGCAGAGGTTCAACATGGAGTTCACGTGTCCTCGACTTGGGTATGGAATGCCCACCACGTGTCCACTTTTTTTCACAGATGCTGGAATTTCCATCTCTTCTTCTTCCACCTTAGCCTTCACTCTTTTATTATCTTATCCACCATTTTTTAGCTCTCCTTATATCCATTTTTTTTGGTCCCCACCTCGATAAATACTCAATTTCCTTTATCTATCACTCTATAATTATTAGAATTAAGGCTAAAAACTTATTTTGATCTCTTATAATAATTATTTATTTTATTTTTTGTCTCAATTTAGTCTTTAATAAATTAATTGGTTGCAATATTAGACTTTCGTCCAAATTATTTAGACGGAGTTAACTGTTAGGGTAGAGACCCAATTTCGTCCGGGGGCATACAAACAATAAGATAGGACATCAGAAGACCCAAAAGTCCAAATCATTTTCAGTAGTCCGGAACGGACTGTTCCAAAATTGGAACGAGCTGTTCTAGACCAGAACGGGTCGTTCCAAACCAATCAAAAGGGCCAAAATTTGTACCCCAGAACGGGCCGTTCTCATTTCAGAACGGGCCGTTCTGGTTTCCCGAAACGGACCGTTCTGATTTCAGAACGGGCCATTCTAGGGTGCAAAAATAGTACATAACGTTCAAATTCAGAATGGGCCGTTCCGGCCCACATCTGATGCCTATAAATAGAAATCTCAGCCACAGTTCAAAGGATCCCAAAAATTTCGTCCAACACTCCTTAGAGCTCGAAATTTCTCTCTTTTTCTCTCTCTCTGTTTTGTATTTCTTGATATTTTGTGAGGCATTGTAGTGTGAAAGGTTGCCACAAAGCACCTAAATTTTCCATCTGAAGATCCAACAAAGCTTGCTACGAGGTATTTCATTTAATCTTCTTATTTTCTTATTTTTAATATTCATTGTTATAACAAACGCAATCACGTAGATATTTTAAGGTTAGTCGTATAATTTAAATTTTTAATATGTAAATAAATATTAATAAAGGGGATTCAATATTTAATTTATTAATTCTTATCATATTAACTTCATCATAGGGTACCGATTGAGGACGCTGTAGGGGTGCTTAATACCTTCCCTACATGTAACCGACCCCCGAACTCAATTCTGGTTATCAAGGCCATAGCTGAATCTTTAAAAACTTTTTCTTTTTCCAATGTTTTGAGTAAAATATTGGTGGCGACTCCATGAACCTATTTTCAAAAACCATTAATTAAGGATTAGTCTGGTGTTCGGACATTCCCTAATTAATGAGACTTTTAAAAGGATGTCTAAACCATATGTTGCAAGATCAGAAATTTTCGGGTTGCAACAGATGGCGACTCCACTGGGGATGGTTATGTGGATGCTACGTGAAGGCCACGTGGATGTCAAATTTTGTCATGCATCTGGAACTAGAATGGCCCGTTCTGAAACAGGAACGGTCTATTCCGGTTGCACTCATGGTGTGTAAATTTTGCATCTGGAACCCGTTCCAGATGCATTATTTAACACCAAAGCGTGCAGAAGAACGAGTCATTTTAAAATCAGAACGAGCCGTTCTAGATTCAGTCACGGGCCGTTATGGATTCAGAACGGACCGTTCCAGAACGCCAACCAACATAGTGCACTAGTGTGGTTCAGAAATCGAAAACAAACCATTTACACATACACAATTTTTTTTATCTAAAAAATAATATATTTTAAAAAATAAAAATTATATTCTAATATATATATATATATATATATATTTAAATTATCGTATGTATAAAATATAAATTCGAGAAATTATTCATTTATCTGATATTTGTCAAACTTTTGTACTTTCTATTTATCGTTTATGTTGATAAAAATAAATTAAAATTGTAAAAATTTATATCACATATTAAAAACATCTCTATATGATAAATAAATTAAACTTAATTTTTATAAGATTTAACATATTTATTTATATATTTTTATTAGTGTTAAATTATTATTAAGTAAGTTTTTAAGATTGTTATGTAACCAAACAATTTAAAAAATGTCTATGATAGATAAATATATAATATTTATAACATGTATTTTTAACAAAAATTAAGTTTAAATCTGTTAAATTATAATATAACATAATCTGACCTAGTTTATTTTCATCCTTAATCATAATTGTAGATATAAAAACTTGTAAAAAAATAACTATAATATATATTTATACTTTTAAAAATTATATATAAAATTTTTAATATTAAAAATATATGAATAAGTATTGTCCTCGCGTATAATCATCAACCGGATGTGTGGCATTTTGGAACCAAAACGGCCCGTTCTGAAACCAGAACGGCCCGTTCTGGTTTCACTCCTGGTGTGTTAATTTTGCATCCGGAGTGGCCCGTTCCAGATGCAAAATTAACACACCAAGAGTGAAACCAGAACCGGAACCCGGTTTCAGAACAGGTCGTTCTGGTTCCAGATGCATGACAAAAATTTGACATAAACGTGGCATCTATGTAGCTTCCACGTGACATCCACGTAGCATCCATGTGGCTAACAGTTAACTCCGTCTAAATAATTTGGACGGATGTCTAACATTGCAACCAATTAATTTATTAGAGACCAAATTGAGATAAAAAAATAAAAGTGAGACTAATTTAAAATAAATAATTATTATAAAAGACCAAAATAGATTTTTAGCCTAAAAATTTAAATATCCTCACAGGTAATTTATAAGATTAATGCAGAAGAGAAGGGTGAGGCCCCATTGTTTTTCATTTAGTTCTTTTTGTTGGGCCTATGCTTAGTAACAAGTGAGCCCATAGCGTTACACAAGCAGATCATCATAAAACTAAATTCATTTTATGTACTTTTATAGTCATTTAATTAAAACAATTATCCATAAGAATCAAACACAGTATAAAAAAGGTTATAACAACTGTTCTTTTATTAATTTGAATATATAATAAATTACTTGTAAATCATCATTAAAATAATTTTTTATTAATTAAAATGATTTGTATTTTTAAATTAAAAGTTTTAAATATATCTATTTTAATGTTTTTATTTATTTTTGTTATCATTAAAATATATTTATGTAATTATGTTAAAAAATATTTATTTAATTAAATAATTATATATTTTATAAATATATTTTTCTATTAGACAATACAAATAACTTTCAACTTAAAAAGAAACCTTTTAAGTTAAAAGACATATAAATTGTCAAACAGTATCTGCTTCAGATTCTTATTTTAAACTTTAAAATAGGTTTTAAACAAAGAAATTTAAACTTTAAAATAGGTTAAAAGTCATATAAATTGTCAAACAGTATCTGTTTCAGATTCTTATTTTAAACTTTAAAATAGGTTTTAGATAAAATATGAACTCAATTTTTGACAATCAATTCAAATTTTGCATATAAAAAAAATTGATTAAATATATTTTTAGTATCTCCAATTTTTTTTAATTTTTTTTAGTTCTTGGCCAAATCTTATTTCAATTAATGAAGTAAAAATAAATTTTATGTCAATTTTAGACATATCATAGATTCCAACGACATAAAAGATTTTAAATTTTTATGTCAATTATAAAAAAATGTTATCAAAGTCTTATTTTTGGGCTCTCAATTATATTTTTTGTCACTCTTTTTGCATTCCATTGTTGCATTTTTTTCTTTTTGTTGTCATATTTCTTTGTGGTCTATTGTTACACTCTTTCCGACTCATTATATTTCT